ATGCTGTTTATTGGTTCAATGGTGAGGATTTTTGTTTTCTCTACATTGGGGTGTAACCTATACTGGAGGCTGTTGTCTTTGATCTTCATCAGTAGGTATTTTAAGTTCTCTTCACTTTCAGCAAGCAAGGTTGTATCATCAGCATATCGCAGGTTGTTCATGAGTCTTCCTCCAATCCTCATGCTATGTTTTTCTTCAGATAATCCAACTTCTCAGATTATTTGCTCAGTTTACAGATTGAATAACTATGGTGAAGAATACATACCTAACACATTTTTCGAAAGCCTTTGAATGTTCAATAAAGCACAGGGAAACGTCTTTCTGTTATTCTCTGTTTTCAGTCAAGATCCGTCTGATATCAGCAATGATATCTCTCATTTCATTTCCTCTTCTGGTAGTTCTCTGTCAGTGTATGGTTGCAGCCAATTTGAATAATAATAGTATTCACTGTCTTCCTTGTAGGTGTATGGATAGTATCCTGTAACAGACAGCATGTACTTCAGGATAGGGCTTGAAATGTTCTTCTTGATGATGAGTGTGATGCCCTTCCAGTTGAGTGAGGGACAAAAAGTTGATTGTGGACATATTTAATGGCCTGAGAATATGTTTATTTTCTTCATACATTTTTCAGAGCATAAATACTTGCAGCCCTTTCTCAAACTCAGTTTATTTGGTTAAATGGAATATGAAACATTTTAGAATCAATATAAGCAGACCTCCCCTTCCTCTTACAGGCAGTGTCTCCTATTCCCCACTTAAATTTGAATAGGTCATAGGGGTAGTGCTAAGAGAGAATGCATCAATTTCAGGTGTTTATTATTTTCATGTAGTGTGTTGTTATAGGACTCCTGGTGTGGTGCTATAGGATCAGCACTGGATTGTGAACCACAAGGTTGGCAGTTCAAACTCACCAGCTGCTCCTTGGAAACCCTATAAAGTGTTGTTATGAGTTGGAATCAATTTTTATGACATTTAACAACAACAATAGTGTGTTGTTATATTTTGTGTGCCTGTGAACTTGAAAGTTGATGATCAGCAGTTTGGGTGTCCAGGGAAGAGTAGTGAAAAAGTAAGATATAATCCAGAAACATTCCTTCATAGAATGAAACAAAAACCAGAAGTCCTGTACTTCTCCCTTTTACAAACCAAAGTTAGTGTCCAACAGGTGTTGTAGATTTGAACTGACTCACCAAGCAGTTGGGGCCATTCCTCACAATTCAAGGATGTTCCAAGGTCAATAGGCTGCTCTTGCTCAATTCTCTTTCTTACAGGAGGATTCCTTGAAACTCCTAGGACTGTGAAGGGAATCCAGCTCTATGTTCTGGCTGTAAAAAAACAAAACAAAAACCCATTACCATAGAATTGATTTAAACTCATACGGACTCTGTAGGACTCAGAAGAACTGCTGCTTAGGTATTCTGAGACTGTAAAACTCTATGGGGGCAGACAGCTTCATCTCTCTCCCACAGAATGCCTGGTGTGTCTGAACCACCAACCTGAGAGTTATCTGCTTATCCCACAGCACTACCAGGGTTCCTTGGAACAATGTTGTTGCTGTTAAGTGTCGTCAAGTCAGTTCCAACCCATAGCGACCCTATATAAAGTTCCAAGGAGTGGCTGGTGAGTTTGAACCACCTACTTTGTGGTTCAAACCAACCTTGCAGTCCAGCGCTTTAACTCACAATGCCACACCAGGACTCCTTGGAACAAAGTAAAGAAGTCTTAAAGGTAAAGTCATTTCATTTGATGGTTGGCTTTTTAACTCTTCTGCCTGCAGGTGGATTGTTTACATATGTCTCTGGAGCCAATTACCTTGGTGAGATCATTGAATGGTTTGGCTATGCCCTGGCTACGTGGTCCCTTCCAGGACTGGCATTTGCATTTTTCTCACTCTCCTTCCTTGGACTACAAGCTGTTCACCATCACAGGTAAGCTTTCCAGTCAAGGTAGTGACATCTCCATGGGTTTCTTCTCCAAGCACATGGAGTCAGATTCAGAAAACGAAGGTATTTGGTTTTTTATAAGGTAAAGTTGATACAATAACTTGAATTGGTAAATTTTGACCTTGTAGTCTTTCACTGAAGTTAGAATTTAGCTAGATGACTATAGTAGCAGTAAAAGATGTTTTTTTTAAAGAACAAAAATAAACCCATGTATTCAGAGGCAACCAAGTTGGTTACTGGAAAGCACTGTGCCTGCCTATTGAAGAATGCATTCCAGCATTCAGTTTATTGACCCAGGTTTTGTGGCTTCCTTTTATGCTTACATAGAAGTGGTTACTGGTTGGCAATAGGCTATAGGTAAGAGTAAAGAAATGAAAGACGTGATTTACAATTTCATTCTTCAACATAATTCCTTATGCCACATTTCTCACTGTGTGTCCATGGTGGGACCAAGACTGGCAGGAGCAAAGCTCTGTGGTTGATTCTGAGGCATGGCCAGGACTGAGAACCACTGGGGCAAAGCATTAATCAGTTCCATGCCTAATATTCCTGCTATTTGGGGCTGTTATTTTAAATTCTAGGTTTACTGCTAATAGTTCAGGTAATCACAGAGCCCTAGAAAATACTGAAGGATGATTTTTTCCTAGAACCTGTGAAATACCAGAACTGCTTTTGATTTTCCCCTTTCCTAACCCCTGGACTGCTAACCACAAGGTTGCCGATTCAAACCCACCAGCCACTCCTTGGAAACCCTATGCAGGGTCGCTATGAGTCTGAACTGACTCAGTGACACTTAACAACAATTCCTCAGTAAATCATGCTGGCTTTCTCTGGGAGTATTGGTGTGGCATTCTGGTATAAAACACTGGACTGCAAGGTCAGTTTGAATCACAAGGTCGGTGGTTGAAGCTCACCAGCTGCTTCTTGGAAACCCTGTGGCAGGGTCACCATGAGTTGAAACCAACTTGGTGGCAGTTAACAGCAGCAACAAGCTGGCTTTCTGGAAGGCAGGGTAAGCAGATGCTGTGTGGTATGATTTCAGGACTGCTCCATCTGCTGTGAAATGCTAGGATTACAGGGTTGCAGAACCTTTCCTCAGGTGGTCTAACCCACCTCCCTCAGTTAACCCCTTCATCTGGGGGTTGGCCTTGGGAAAAAAGTTAAACTGGAGGTATGCCCGGAAGGGTGAGGCCACATACTAAATTTTATCAGGCTTTAAATCTGAGCTTGAATTCCAGATTCTGTCCCTAAAATGGCGTTTGCTACTATAGGAAAGAGGAAGCCTGTCATCACAGGGACAGAGAGGGAGTGGACACCAAAAAGGGAAATGGATTTGGGACTAGATCCTGAAGGAATCCTGTTTCTTATCTAGTTATTTTAGTCTGAGTAATGCCCTGCTGTGGCACTATAGAATAGAGCTGGACTACTAACCACAAGGTTGGCAGTTCAAATCTACCACTTGCTCTCGGAAACCCTATACAGGGGAGGGCAGCAATTTCATCAGAAGTTTCCAGTTGACATAACAACACTCCCAAAGTGAGGTCCTATCCTCTTATATCAGATTGCCCCAGAGGGTGACTTAGGCTTTATCGTAACTGTTACAAAGCATGGCCAGGCACTCACAGGAGAGGCTGCATACACAAAGGCAGTTCAGTTCACCAGAGAGATCATGGTTAGGTCCTGAGAGACCTCTGAGAGATCAGAGGTCAGATCATACCACCCCAAAGCGACCATCATATACTATTTGTCCCCCAATTCAGACTATGAGGTGCTTTATCATCTTGAGTGTAACGTGAAGGCTAATGGCTTCAATTAGTGAAGAGGACTAAGGTAACTCAAAGAGAAAGCCATTTTACAAGTAATATTTTCTTGGCATGTCCAGGCCTCAAAACGGGGTGTTTTCCTGGAAAACTGCCAATGTTCTAGGGTTAATCCTGCCCATGGTGTTTGGGGCTCTGGATCCCTGTATTTCTTAGTTCGATCCAAATGGGAGATTCTTTTTGGTTGTTGCATTTTATTCACTATGCTTTCATCACAGAACTAAGAAACTTGAGAAAACATAAAAGATACACTGTAGAAAGGAGAGAGAAGTTGGTCAAATGACTATCATGACCTCAGCAACTATAGGTTGGCTTGTAACAAGAATTTCAGACATCAAAACTCAACTCCTGACCACTCCATGCTTACATTTGTAATCATTCTTTTCCTGTCTTTTAGGTTCTACCTCAAGATTTTTAAGGACTACCCCAAATCTAGGAAAGCTCTTATCCCATTTATCTTTTAAAGAAACTGAATGAAAAAAAAAAGCAACAAAACTTCCACAGATGAAAACCATCAAGCTGCTAAACTCGTTACTTTAAAAGTCTCACTGTATTTATCATAGCCAACCTCATGGTGTTCTGACAGCTGGCCTGGGCTTTCTCAGTGGTGATTCCTACCCTCCCTCACTCCATCATCACTTGCTATAGAAGCTTCAATAAGGTCTTTCCTCCAGACACACTTGATTCTAGCTCTTCCTTCTAGAAAGTGTACAACTTCCCCTACATCTTTTTTCACTGGGTTGTCCAAATATTTGTGGCTTTATAGCTGCATTGATGAAAGATAGCTCTAGAATCAAGAAAGTTCTTGGTGGAGGGCATTTCTTATAGAATTTAAATTTTTTTTTGAGGCAATGCAGTTGTTTGTAGTAACCAATGTGTGCAACTTTGTCACACATAGCTAAACATTAGTATTATGATTACTACTTTATTATTCTGTTAAAGATGTTTTAGTATCTGAAAGTGTTTGTTTAATATTTTTATGCATTAGAAGGTACACTTGTGCTATAGACTAAGACAACCATTTGACTGACTGATGTTCAACATGACTGTACTAATTTAATTTAAAGAAAGATTCAAAACAGAACTCGTTTGCAATCTGTGGCTTGCCTGAGGAGCTTCTGGTGGGTTTGAACTGCTGACCTAGCAGTTTAAACTGACCTTGAGGTCCAGTGATTACCTTACAGTGACACACCCAGACTCCATCTATGTTTTATACCTATACAAAATAGAAGAGATTTAAATCCTGAAGCTACGCAGATTCAGAGCAAACCTACTCCAAAATGAAAACAAGTCTTCGTTTTCCTTTCTGAGTTTTAAAAGATCTGAAATAAAAAAAAAAAAATTAAAAAAAATCTGAAATTATCAAGTAGATCTTTGAAAGAGGCTCCCTCTCTTCATATGAGGGGGCTTCAAGAAGTTCATGGAAAAATTCCATCATCTTTTCATTCTATTTTTTCATGAACTTTTTGTAGTCCCCTCATGTTTGCTAAAACTGCAATGATATCTTGACCTCATTTCACATTTGGTTCCTGTTTTAGCTCATGAGCACCTCTGTCTTTATGATCCCTTTAAGAGATGTCATTATCTAACCCACAAAACCAGCAAGGGTTTTAATATGACTACAAATAAAAAGAGATGACCCCGAGGGCTACTGGGAGAGTAAAGAAGTATTCTACAATAGATACTGCAGAACCTCACAGTCTCGTGAACCATTGGGGATATCCAAATAATGGGATAGTGCCAATTATGGGGAATTCATGAATCAGCTTGTATCCACTGGCCTCCAGACATAGCTGCAAAGACAGGGAAGGGGATCAGAAGCAATGAGTAACTTGCCTCTATGGGAAAACTTGCCTCTGAACTTGCACAAGGTCAAGTTTGATCCATCAATGTTTCTGAGGGCAGAAACTCAAAACCATAGTTGGTGGGAACTACATGGGCAGAAAACCTGTTTTGTTTGGTTGTGACTATGTTCCATATATATTGTGATTTGATGGGTTTATATATATATATAGTTTCCAAAATTTAAAAATTAGGTTCTGCATTACTCTGGCATTCTAGCTTCCTTTAATCATTTGGAGGATCTGACCACATTGCACCTGTGTTCTCACAGAAGAACCTGTGTTCTCACTGAGAGACGCAGTAGCTAGTAAGCATTTGAGTTTGCAACTCCTGAGGCTGAATCATTCTACATGGGTGCTTGGGCACTGGGCCTCAAAGGAAGGGCTGAACATATATTCATAAACCATATATGAATATGCTTATATTCTCAGCTCTAGGCTTGTGGCAAGCACTGACAATATTGAGAAAACCCTTTTGAGAAATGATTTAATCAGGTGAAGAGCCAAGTGCAGAAACTCACTTGTAAGGCATATAGGAAACTTGAAAGATGTGAGAATTGCTGAAAAATACAAATGATAACCCTATAAATATATGTTTTTGCTGTTCACAAAATGCCTTTCAAACTGTGGATGTTAAGTAACTTTGTATGAATTAAAGAATTCCTGGACTTCTGGAGATTTTTACAAGGTTTGGAGCTGTGATTTATCTCTCCTAGTGTCTTTTATTTTTTTATTTTGACAACCTGAAATTAGAGATGCTGAGTTGAAAGTAATGAAGTATGACTTACAGAACTTCTCAACCATCACTCAGAATTCCAAGGAGGTACAATAAAGGTACAGGAAAACATGTTAGGGTTTATCTACCACCCCAAGTGTTCAGGAATATACAGAGGAAGAAAACACACGCAATAAAATAAACTGTAAGGTGTGGTTTGGGCTCTGTGAACTCAAAAACTTATGGTTTATGGCATTGAAAGCTGCCTTTCTTAAGTCTTTTATTACCATGTAAAACTCGAGGCCAGTCCTTGAAAATCAAACCTGTTGTAATGGAGTCAATTCCAACTCATGGTGACCCCTTTTGTTATAAAGTGAATTGAGTGGTATTTTACATGGGAGAACATCAGTTTTGCATTCATTCTATTGTACTCTGTTTATTGCAATGATTCCAATCCCCTCAATCCATTATCATTCAACAGTATTTGTTTCTATTCCCTGTTTTTGTTTTTGTTTTTAAGTACACAAAAACACTCAGGAATATATAATCATTTAAACAACCAAAGGGCACATTCTGCAAATCTGCCTCCTGGCCACTAGCACACAGCCTTTCTCTTTCCATGAGTCTAGAGTCCTCAATTGCTGTTTTTCTCCACGTCCTCATCTCTGCCTCCATCTCTGGTGTCGCTGCTTCTCTGGATAGAGTCCCACATTCTGCTTGTGCTCTTCTCCCTTGATAGTCCTAGGGTCCTCTGTTCCTGGACTGTAAGATTAACTACTCCCCCTTTATTTTACAAAACTTCTACCTTTATAGTTGTGACAATTGCAATTAGTTATAATAACAATTACTCACTATTGAATCAAAAGAATCTTATCACCATTTCCTTTCACCAGACCCATCTAGACAAGATGAAAACTACTCAGTAGGGCTTCTACCTTCCCCCAAACACTCTGAAATTGAATTCCCTCTTGAAAACTTGTAAGCTAGTCACTTCATGCCTTTACAGTCCCCCACACCCCCATTTAGGAAGTCCATAGGGTTCTGTTGGCTGTAATCTTTTTGGAAGCAGATCAACAGTTCTTTCCCCTCCACATGCTGCTGGGTGGCCTTAAACTGCCAACCATTTCCATTAATGTTGTTGTTATTGTTAAGTACCCTTGAGTTGATTTGACTCATAGTGACCCTGTTTAGGGTTTCTGAGGAGTAGTTGGTGAGCTTGAACTACCTGCAAACCTTGCGGTTCAAACCAACCTTGCAGTCCAGTGCCATACCAGGATTTCAATTGTTGTTGTTAAGTGCCGTCGAGTTGGCTCTGACCCATAGTGACCCTGTACAGGGTTTCGAGGCTGTAAATCTTTATGGGAGTAGAAAGCCTCATTTTTCTCCCACGGAGCAGCTGGTAGGTTCAAATTGCTGACCTTAAGGTTTTGCAGCCCAAAGTAACCACTACGCTCTTCAATAGGCAAGTACAAATCATTTGAATCTTGAAATGTAATCATTTGGACCTCTTGAAATGTAATAACCAAAGTCACTGCTATCCAGTTGATTCCAACTCATAGTGCCCCTGGAGGACAGAGAAGAACTGCTCCTTAGGGTTTTTGAGTCTTTTATGAGAGTAGGCAGTCTTTCTCCCCAGGAGCAACTGGTAGGTTTGAACAACCAACCTTGTGATTAGCAGCTCAACAGCTAAATCACAGCTTTACTGGGGTTCTTTAAGTGTAATGAACTAATTTTTGGTGGCTACTTTTTGCCAGGTCATGTTTCATTCTGTTATATATAAGATCACTATGAGTCATAACCAATTCAATGGTACCTAGCAATAACACAACTATTTGCCCCACTAACCAAAAGTTAGTCCTGGTGTGGTGCTGTAGAGTAAGCACTGGAGACTGCGAACCACAAAGTTGGTGGTTCAAATTCACCAGCTACTCCTTGGAAAACCCTATATAGGGCTTCTATGAGTTTGAATGGACTCCATAGTACTTAATAACAACAACAACCAAAAGGTAGGGAATTTGAGTCCATTAATAAGGTGCTGTGGACTAATGCATTAAACTGCAAAGTCATTTGAACTGCAAGGTCGGTGGTTCAAGCTCACCAGCTGCTCCTCGGAAACCCTACACAGAGTCGCTATGGGTCAGAATCGACTTGATGGCACTTCACAAAAACAAGATTATCTTAGAATAAAAGTCTGGAGATTACTTTCCAAAATCAACCATTGGAGTCAATTCGATGAGTAACTAATTTTTTATTTTTGCTTTTGTTTGTTTTGCCCAGGATGGTGATATCTAGAATTTTATTTTGGCCACCCTTGATTTCATAGAGTAACTTACATATTTGGAAAGGAAAAAAAAAAGAAAAGCAAAACCAAATAAGTATTGTAATTCAAGTTAACACAGTTGTGCATCTTATTAATTTAAATACAGTGTAGAGTAAACTCCATGTGATATTAACTCTTCCCTTGATAACAAAGGTATTCTCAAAAGTTCTAGGTCCTTTGTTTTCACCAGTTCATTGTTTGTTTATTTGTCTGGGTTTGGGTGTGTATGTAAGTTGAATAGATGTAAATGTGTGCTTGTCCCAAAACACATTTTCAATTTTTCAAAAAAAAAAAATTGAGTGTAACAAAAGATGTAGTTAATCTATGCTTCTATGGAAGGAGCTCTAGTAGTGTAGTAGTTGTGAGTCAGGCTGCTAATCTCAAGGACAGCAGTTTGAAACTACCAGTGGTTCCATGAGAGAAAGATGAGGCTTTCTGCTCCCATAAAGATTTATAGCCTTGGAACCTCTATACAGGGTCGTTATGAGCTAGCTGGAACTGACTCCATGGCACATAACCACTATCACTACCATGCTTCTGTGAAATGATTTTGGGTTAAAAATAATATAACAATATCTTAACTAATAA